ATGTTGCAGCATGTATCCGAACTTCTTTCTTTTTATAAAATATCGAGCATTCCATTGTGCAAATACACCACATTCTGTTTATCCATCCATCTGTTGAGGAACATTGGGGTTGTCTCCAATTTGACTATTATGAATAATGCAGATAGGAACTTTTGTGTACAGTTATTGCCCGGATGTAAGTTTCCAGTTCTCATGGGTTTTCATCTAGGGGTAGGATTGCTGGGCCAAAAGGTACGTTTAACGTTTTGAGGAATACCAAACTGTTTCCCAAAGTGACCGCATCATTTGACCTTCCTGCCCACAGCGGGCGAGGGTTCCAGTTTCTCCACACCCTCACCAATGCTCGTTTCAGGAAGATCTTTGTCCTGGCATATGAAGAATGTGTCTCTATTTTCTCAGAATTTATTTCAAAGAATAGGGTGAGGGGACATGATAACAATCTTCTCCAGGGGAAGTAAGAAATGGTCTCCTTTTCCCAGTGCTGACAGCTTCTCAAAACCCTGGCCACCCTGCAGGGTAGGATTCTAGGAACGGGATTCCTTGTAGCATGTGTCTAATCTGTGGGGCAGTCATTCCCTCTCAAACTTTCCCTGACCCAGTATGGATAATCAGAGCAGCAGTCAGTGGCTCTGCAACAAAGAAAATACTGTGCAGGCAGGTAGCAATCAAGAGATTCGTATTCTTCAGGGCTCAGAGGCTGAAGAATTCGTGATTTGTCTCCATTTCGTAAAGATGACTTACATAGATCTTAATTGGAAATTTTGACTTTTCTTATTATTCCCATTTTTCTTTTATGAAGCAAGTGCCCAGATATCTGATAGTGGTTTTATGTGGTTAGTGGGCAAATATTTCCATTAGATACACTGCCCAGGCAAACTAAAGATGTCCAGCACAATTCAAGATGATGGAATTCGAGTTGGCCAGGAAGGACCTCAGCCATTTGTTATAAGGTGTTCAGTCTATTCCCCTTCTTAAAGTTAGCAAAGACTGCAAGTGACCTGCAAAAGCTTGAAATGCCATTAAAATGCTATTGTTACATTTTATAATGTGCTTTAGGGAAAGGGTACTACCCACTCCAGTATTCTTGGGCTTCCCTTGTGGCTCAGCTGGTAAAGAATCTGCCTGCAATGTGGGAGACCTGGGTTCGATCTCTGGGTTGAGAAGATCCCCTGGCGAAGGGAATGGCTCCCCACTCCAGTATTCTGGCCTGGAGAATCCCATGGACCATAAAGTCCATGGGGTCGCAGAGAGTCGGCCACGGCTGAGTGACTTTCAGTTTCTTTAGGGAAGCGGTGCTAATATAAATAAACAACCACAGGAAGTGAGTGATTATAGATCCCAGCGCGCATGCGACAGTCAGCCTGATCTTACTAGATTAGGTGAGGGGTTTAGGTAAATTCTTTTGGGAGGGAGACATCACATGTTGCTATTGGAGACTGTTAAATCATACATATATACAAGCATGCACATGCATGCCCAAGCACACACACATGTGTGTGCACACATGTCTGTACACGTGGTGGACAACACCATGTGTAGGATCTAATTCCCAAACCGCTCATGTCATGAAGTGCTTTATAGGCCCCGGCATGTTTTAGCACCTCAGAAATGTTTACCAAGCGATTTAAGATAGCTGCTAAAACCACTAGATTATGCAGTTCTCGGGAGTATCCCTTTCCCCTGTGTTAGCTTTTGCACTCTCATTACCCTAGATATTGAGTCAACGTCAGGGTCTGCTGCTGATGGCTTTTCTTTTTGTGAATGGAACAGGGGGCAAGAGAATGACGGTTTCAGTCTATCTCCAGAGACCCTGGTTCTTCTACTTTTACCTGAAGGACTTTGTCTCCATCCTCTGTCTCCTGGAGTTGACCTAGATCTTTCCATTAGAAGGAACAAGCCTTACAAGGCACTGTCTTACTTGCTCATAGTCTTGACCATGGCTCTGCTTGGCACAAGATCACAGCTAGAACCACCAAACGGCCTCAAGTCCAGGCTCAGAATTGGGGGAATTTTGGACATGGCTTCACCTTACCCAGACCACCTTCTAGAAGAAGACAACCCAAGCATTTTGAGTGTCCAGTCCTCTGTGAGGCCTTTACCCGTAACTGCACGTCCGCTCCCTTCTCAGGGGTCTCCTCTGCTTTCAACTGCTTTCCAGCCCCCCCACCCCTCTCCAGAAGGGAAGCTTCAGGCCAAGGGTTAGGTCTTGACTGATCTCCATCGTCTGCCATAAATTGGTGTCTGATGGGTGTGCGACTGTTGGTCACCCCCATCCCCTATGTTCTCTGCAAGATAAAGAGCTTGGTGGGCGGCCCCACCAAGTGCGTCAGGGGAGAGGAGGGCATGGGAATCAAACTGACAGAAGACAGATTAGCAGGAGAAAAGCACAAGAACTTTTCCATGGCCACGAGATCCCCACAGAAAAAATGAAGACCCAAAGAAGGGGCAAAGCCTCATTGCCCACACAGCAGGCTGAACAAAGAGAGACCCTTGAGGAAAAGGGACTGAAACACACGGGGACCAAAGGAAAGATTAGAGTTACTCTGGCAAGATCTGTTTGTGCAGATTTCTTGGCGTCCATTCCCAACTCTGGTCAGAAGAGTACGTCTCCCCGGCTGGGGTAAGGAGGGCAGCTCGCACGTGGCATTTTTCTCTCCTGGCTTCAGGAAGACAGCGGGGAACGGAGCTCTCTTGTTGCACCTGCTGTTTTTCAAATTCTTTCAGCTCAAAGAAGCATATTTTCAGGTGACACATTCTGTTACCCTTCATTTATTTATCTACACAGATGAAGTCCATGCCCTTCATAAGGTTGGGTCAGAGAAATAAATGAGTTGCGTGTGTGTATCTTAGAACAATCCTTTGCGTTTAGTAAACGCTACGTAAGTATTTAATAAACTTAATAAATGCTTCCCAGCTGGCTCAGACGGTAAAGAATCTGCCTGCCATGTGAGACACCCAGGTTCCATCCCTGGTCGGGAAGATCCCCTGTAGAAGGGAATGGCCACCTACTCCAGTATTCTTGCCTGGAGAATTCCATGGACAGAGGAACCTGGCCGGCTACAGTCCATGGGGTCACAAAGAGTCAGACATGACTGAGCAACTAACACTTCCCCAGGTGGTGCTAGAGGTAAAGAATCTGCCTGCCCTTGCAGGAGACGCAGGAGACACAGGTTCGATCCCTGGGTCTGGAAGATTCCCCCCTGGAGAAGGAAATGGCAACCCACTCCTGTATTCTTGCCTGGGAAATCCCATGGAGAGAGGAGGCTGACCGGTCACAGTCAGTGGGGTCACAGAGAGTCAGACACGACTGGGGACATCACAGCACGACACAACATGGAAGTGTTAATTACTACCTTTAGTTTAAGGAAATGGTTTGTGTGGGTTAGTGATGTTTCTACCAAACTTTAGTCCAATCTGGCTCCCTGATATTATACCCCTGCAAGTATTTACATTTCAAAAGCACTTCCCTTGCATATATAAACTCATGTGTGACTTTAAGCTGAACATGTAGCCTATAAAAATAAATTATTAATTTAGTTAGTAATCAAAGTCCAAACAAGTCCGTAATCATGAAATCTCTAATTATTCTTTTGTTCTTCCGAGCAACAGACATGGGCATGAGAGGCAAGAGTGCTAGGCCCGGGAAATTCTGCGTGTGACCTGTTTAATGTAGCCACTTTAACTGTCATCCAAGTATTTGTCTTAGGCTGTCAACATTATAAGCTTCATGGCTGCTTGCTGAATACTGAGATAGGCACCCCAGAAGCTCTCCATAAACATTAATTGAAAGAATAATTGAAAATAAACCTACATGCCTTTTCACTTAAATCCAAGCCTTTGCTGAGGTTTAACTTTCTCGGTCATGTAATGACCTTCTATATACAAAGGGAAAAATATAATCAGTGGGAGCCGCTTTTTATTCTAAATTCTGCTTTAATTTTTGCTTCAAGCACAAACATTACAGGTTTGATATGACTTACGTATTTAAGTTTCCACTGAGCTCTGAAAACGGCCTGAGCATATTCCTTCATTTCCCTTTTTGAGAGTCTCTACTTGGGTCTGTCCACTGGACTCGCCGCATTTGAATTATGTCCTGGTCACTTTGCCTCTACCAGGGGGCCGGGCTGGGCTGTGCTCAGTCACTCAGTCGTGTCTGACGCTTCACAACCCCACGGACCGTAGCCCACCAGGCTCCTCTCTTCATGGGAGTCTCCCTGCTGGAACACTGGAGTGGGTGGCCATGCTCTCCTCCAGCGGATCTTCCCAACCCAGGGATCGAACCCAGATCTCCCACATTGCAGGCGGATTCTTCACCATCTGAGCCACCAGGGAAGCCCCGCCAGGTGGCTGGGGGACGACGGGTTAGTGTGCTGGGGATGTGGTTCAGGGTAGACTCCCCAGGGATAGCAGTTTCAAAGTAGTCGGTGAAACCCAGTCGTTCTCAAACCACCAGCCTTTAACGTGAAATTCTGTGCAAATGACTGAGATCACAGTTTGCAGCGGAAAGAGGAGGCCAGGCCAGGGTCTCACAGACTGCGGTCGCCCTGGGCTGCCTCTGGGGTGAGATCCACCCCTAGTGGATTCACCCGAGGGCTATGCTCTCCTCCCTGGAAACGGGCTCCATTTTCCCATCCAGCTCATCCTCATCGTTCTGTGAGCACAAACCAAGAGCTCTATTTACATAAGAACAAATTCATGTGTGGAAGAGTCTGATCAGGAGCAGGAGGTTCAGAACTTACAAAGTGAATCCATCAGTAGAGCCCTCTAGCCACCTTCACGAGACCAGCCCAAGCTGGCATCATAAGGACATTGATGATGTAAACGTGCGGGAACACTGTCTAGGAAAATCTCCAAATGGATGTCCTGTGCTTAGCTTCTTTTCACAAAGAGCAAAATCTAGGTAAAGGCACCTGATCGCTGAATTCCACAAGGAGGAAGAGAGATTTTCTTTTAAAGATTGAGCCAGAAACTTTATTTTTATTTGCATAATTTGAAAGCAGCTTGCAAATGGAGACGTGGTCTGCGCTCTTACCAGGCCTCTGCCCGGAAGAAGCAATTCTAACTCCTGAGCACCGGCTGACGGGTAACTGACACGTTCCACGGACGAAGCAGTCTGCAGAAAAGCTTCATGCATCATCTTGCTACAGAGTCTCCGGCAGCCAGACAGCCTTGCCCCTTCTCCATCCCGCACGCTATTTATGTGTTTCCATTTACATGAATCTAGTCTATGCTTGTGCCAGGTTGATTTTTCAAGTTAATCATAGGGCACTTGGGGAAAGATTAATGTCAGGAATGCAGAGGTTCAGCAAATTGTGGAAGAGCCTCACCATGCAATTAATCTCTCTCTTCCCACGTTACAGAAGTGCAAGGGACAAAGGCAGAGAGCTGTCATAATGCAGACATCACAGGTCTGTCTGGAAGAGCCGGGGGAGCCAGCTATGAAGCACATAGGAAGATGGCTCTCTGCGCTAAGAAGGAGTTATAAATCATCCCCTTCTCCCTGCATCATTCCTTCTTGCCGGGCTGTTGTTTAGTCGCTCAGTCGTGTCCGACTCTCTGTGACCCCCTGGACTGTAGCCCCCCAGGCTCCTCTGTCCATGGGGTCCCCCAGGCAAGAACACTGGAGTGGGCTGCCACTTCCTCCTCCGGGAGGTCTTCCCGACCGAGGGATCGAACCCGAGTCTCCTGTGGCTCCTGCACTGCCAGTGGATTCTTTCCCACCGAGTCACCGGGAAAGCCCCTTCTTGCCTGATGCTTGTACCTCAAGTCCGTTTCCTTCTCAGCTGTCATTGCCCTGATGACAGCACCATAAACTAGGTCGTGGGAGCAAGTGGAGACGGCATCTCAGTTAAAGCAACGCCACGCTCTTGATGCTGAGCCTGATCTCTGTACCCAGGACAGAATTAATTCTCCGAGGCTGAACTCTGGGTGAAGTAGCAAAGAATAGCTTTATTGCTTTGCCAGGCAAAGGGGTTTGCCCCAGCAGGCTAACGCCTTCAAAACTCTGACCCCGTTTGGAGCGGGTAGTGAAGAATTGTATGGTAATGGTTCAAAGAGGAAGTGACCAGCTCGTGGACACTTCCAATGGCTTGGCGGTGAGGGAAGTGGAGTCAGCATCATCAGCTTTCTGGTGCCAAGCCGTCCGGGGCCTCCGAGTTTGTGGGCAGAGAGCAACTAACTTGTCCTATGTGGTGGGGGTTTCAGCGTCTGCAGAGAGCTCAGAGACAGTGTCACGTGTGCCCCCTGAAGGGGAGCTGGGGCCGGCTCCAAGGCTGCCCTCCTGTTTCTTGACCGCTCCCTCCTTGTTCTGCACCCCTCCCTTCCCTGGCCGGCAGCAGTTTGAACCTGCCTGTTGGAACTCAGGGAAGGTCGTGGAGGCTGAGTGAGGCCTAGTTCTTGTAATGAAGAAACGGGGGACACGGAAGTCTTTTGTGCCCAGGAGCCCCACAGGGTCCTGCTCCGTCTCATGCTCATCTCCTCAGATGCCCGTCATATCCTTTATGTCCAGCTTTATCCGTATTCCTCTGCGGTCAAAACCCCTGGTATGACACGTGAAACAAACTTCCTTCCGAGGCAGGGCTCGCTGTCGTCAGCTGGTGAAAAACGTGGCAGCCAGTGGCTCACGGGACCTTCCTAGTGCTGTGTTTCCCCAGAACCAAAGGTTCAGGGTTCCCTAGGTCAGTGTTCTGGAAAAGGAAATGGCACCCCACTCCGGTACTCTTGCCTAGAGAACCCTGTGGACAGAGGAGCCTGGTGGGCTGCTGTCTATGGGGTCACACAGAGTCGGACACGACTCAAGCGACTTAGCATGCATGCATTGGAGAAGGAAACGGCAACCCACTCCAGTGTTCTTGCCTGGAGAATCCCAGGGACGACGGAGCCTGGTGCGACTTAGCAGCAGTTTAGTGTTAGTGGCAACTTCATAGAGAGAACCACTGAGGGGACTCACCAGGCACCAGGGTCCTGTTTGCGGCCAGACCAGTAGGAACAAGAATGTGGCCGGAGGGGCCCTGGGCGCTGGCTGTGGGGGGCACCCTGTGAGGGGCAGGGAGGGGCAGGCACAGAGATCTCCCTTTCTGGGTCCCTGGACTCCAGCCGTGCTGGTTTCGGGGAGATCCCCCTGAATCAGCTGGAAACCCAGTGCAAACCAAGGCAGCCAAGTTCTGCTTTCCATTCCTCACAGGCACATTTCTGTGGACTGAAACTACCCCAAAGTCAGGAGTGAACAGCTCACAATAAGATTTTCAAGTTGAACCCGCGATGCAATAGTAAACATCCATCAGATAATAATAGTCATTCTCTTCCTTGCAAACAAAATGGAAGAAAAATTTAGCGGATAAGATTTCAGATCTTCTCCCTTTCATTCTTGACTTTGGTCAAAGAAGTGAAATGGTGAGGAAATAAAAATGATGCAAATCCTGTTTCTTTAGGACTCAGGGTCCTGTGTTATCAGAGCCGATTAGATAGTTTTACAAGAAACGCAAGCTTAGCCCTACAGAACTCTCTTCATTTAGGAAGACTGGCCCTTGCTCAGGGCTGCGGTCCCGACTCGTGCCCCGCTCCCCTTCCGCCGCGTCCACACCTCCGCTCTGGGTCTGTGTCTCCATTCCTGCTCCGTGTGTAGCTTCATCTTTACCATTTTCCTAGATTCCAAATATATGGGCTAATGTACAATATTTGTTCTTCTCTTTCTGGCCTACTTCATTCTGCACTTAGTATTACAGATGGACGCAAAGCAGAGAAGACCCAGAGAACTTCACATGCTTCTTCATGTGCGCACCGCTGTGATAAAGGACGCAGCAGCGACTCCCGTCTCTAGCATGGCCGCTCCGCCGGCCGCCCCGTGTGCACGGCGGGCAGTGCGCTTGCAACCCGGCAAGGTCACCACGGCCAGCTGCCCCGCAGAGGGAAACCAGGGACCCCCACACCGCCCCGCACCCGCATGGAGGAGCAGAGCGCTCAAGAGACACAGAGGCAAACCCGGAGTTACATTCTCATCTGTGCGACCTCAGAGTCTCACTGTCTGCCCTTCCCCGTGCTGACTCGTGAAGGTGGATCGGAGACAACCTCAGCTTCCCACCCTGCACAAAGACGTCACCTCCGCTACAGTCCACGATGCCCAGAGGACAGGCACAGGGCAGACTGACCACTGCCCGTCCCCAGAGACACAGTCCCGTTTCCAGAGACACGCTCTGCTTCACCCTAAGAGCAGGAGACCCCGTTTTCAAGCCCTGGAGTGTCCCCTTGCGCAGGTCTACACTCAGCCCTCTCCGGAGCATGACCTTCATCTGCACAAGGTCACTGCTTTCATGGGTGGGAAAGTGTAAGTCGGGAGCATTACGCTTCATAATCTTGCGCTTGTAGTGGCTGAATTGTAGTAAACTGGAGTAAGTCTGTCTTGTTTTTGAGAATAAATATGTTGCACTTTATCTACAACAAGAAGCACTTTGCTTGGATCGCGGGCACAGTATAGGCAGCAGAGTGCAAGCGGCTGAAAGGTGTGACCCCACAGCAAATGCAGCGTGTTTGACCCAGAGCCTCTGTATAAATATATGAAGTGCTTATGTAACCCATCGGTTGCAGTAGTGCATCAATAAAACCTCACAAATGGCGGAGTTGGGGATACAGCCACACTGGTGTCTGTACACGAGATATTTATTCATGGTCTCTCCAGTCTGGTGCTTTTGGAACCTCTCTCAGTCTGCCATTCATGAAGTGAACATGTGTTTGATGGCTAATACATAGAGATCAATTGAATGATATCATTCTACAAGAAAACAAAGCACATGAGATCCAATGCAAATATGTCAATTCTAGTTATAAAGCTACTCTGTGATTCCCACAATTGCTTGTCCCCAAATGTAAAAACAAACATGATTAAACATCCCTTTAACTTCTGTTTGCTGGCAAACACCAGGTCCTGAGTGTGCTCCACACACCCCCTCTTTGCAGACAAGACCTGGTCTCTTTGTAAGAGTGGAGCCCAGTAAGCAGGTTTGCGCTTCCTTCTGTCTGATCCCATTGGCCAAAGAGCTGCCCTTGCCAGCAGGGTGAGGTAATGTCCCCCAGGCCCCCAGCATCTAAGAATCTCTGCAGAGTCTCCAAATAGCCACCCTGTTCTCTCCATCTTTCAACAAAATGCAATGTCATAAAGCAATCGTGTCCTTAGTTTTCTAGAATTTCTCTGACTGCAATTTGATCTTTAGCCTCTAAACTTGCCGACAAAGGTCCATCTAGTCAAAGCAGTGGTTTTTCCAGTAGTCATGTATGGATATGAGAGCTGGACCATAAAGAAGGCTAAACGCTGAAGAACTGATGCATTCAAATTGTGGTGCTGGTAAGGATATGAGAGCTGGACCCTAAAGAAGGCTGAGCATCAAAGAACTGATGCTTTTGAACTGTGGTGCTGGAGAAGACTCTTGAGAGTCCCTTGGACTGCAAGGAGATCCAACCAGTCCATCCTAAAGGAGATCAGTCCTGAATATTCATTGGAAGGACTCGATGTTGAAGCTGAAGCTCCAAAACTGGCCACCTGATGGGAAGAGCTGACTCATTGGAAAAAACCCTGATGCTTGGAAAGATTGAAGGTGGGAGGAGAAGGGGACACCAAAGGATGAGATGGTTGGATGGCATCACCGACTCGATGGACATGAGTTTGAGCAAAATCCAGGAGATAGTGAAGGACAAGGAAGCCTGGCGTGGTGCAGTCTGTGGGGTCACAAAGAGTCAGACATAACTTAGCAACTAAACTACAAAATTTGACATTTCAAAACCTTGCTTATCATACAGCTCAACCCTCTGTTCCTAACCATCCACACCAATTTCTACTGCCCTCAGCAGGGAAGAGCTCATTTACACGAAACGTACTCCAGGATCTTAACATGAAGACAGCAACTGCCACACACACGTCCTGCTCCGCACTCCCCATCAAGCCAAACAACACTTTGGGTGCTTCCACCCCGGTTTCCCTCCTCTTATTCTCCTTTCTTACCCCAAGAACAACTGTCTTGTCGTCTGTCAGAGGAAGAGAGGGCGCACGTGCCTGGGGCACCCTCGCCCCAGGGCCCTTCCTCTCTGTCCGGT